TGCAAACAACTTTGAAAAAGATATGAAATATATTACAAGAATAACGACATTTATCTTTTTCATCAGGTTTCGAAAGCTACTCTTTCAACTATATAACTAAAAAAAAAGTAAAGCTGCTTTAACATTTGAAACTTAATTGAGCTTGCACACCCTGCACATTTGTTTGAAATTAATTCAGCGGTCAGTAATATATTTGAGAAACGTTAATAATTTTTAAACTAACTTTATTAGATAGTTTTGATTAAACTTGCCAAATATATTGACTTTAGTAACATATTAGCTAAACTATTGTAAATACAGTAAAATAAAGTAAGTTTTTTATAATTGTATTTTAATCGTTAATTTAATTTTAATTGTATTTTAAGTGTTTTTTAATCGTTATCTTTTGAAGAAACAAAAGTAATGTTAAATTAAAAGTTTTTATCAGACATTACTTAAATACACATAATAGTATAAGAGAATAGACATAAAAAATACACATAATAATACAAGAAAAAAATTTAAATATTTTTAATTAATTCTTTATATTTAAGAAGATAACAACTGATGCAATAATATCATAGCTGTTGTAAATATAACTTAAAACCTTTGAAATTATATTATTACTGTTTAAAAATATACCATCCATAATTTTAATTTTTTATTTGTAAATTAAAAAAAAAAAAAAAACTAAATTCTTATTTAAAAATTACTGGCATATAATAAGTTCCGCATCTAAACTTTGTCTATAGAGTTCTTTAAAACAGCCATTTCCAGATTAAATTTTGTCTTGAGTAAAAAGGATAAAGTCTAATCTAGATATAAATTTTATGAATAAAATCTTTTAATATTGTAAAACAAAAAGAATACTAAACAGTCATATACTTAAGAAATAAAAATTATAACTTTTATGTCAACTTAAAGGTGACTTAAACCACTCTGATTCTAACGAGTATATTATTAATAATATTATTATAAGCATATAGTATATTATTAGTAACATTTTTATAAGCATATAGAATATTATTAATAATATTATTATAAGCTGGTTAAATTTGTAATGTTTTAGATGAAATACTAAGTAAAAGTTGACTTACACCACTTAGATTCTAGCTAGCTAGAATCTAAGTAGTGATTCTAGATAGCTAGCTATCTGGTTCTAGATAGCTAGCTATCTGGTTCTAGATAGCTAGCTATCTGGTTCTAGATAGCTAGCTATCTGGTTCTAGATAGCTAGCTATCTGGTTCTAGATAGCTAGCTATCTGGTTCTAGATAGCTAGCTATCTGGTTCTAGATAGCTAGCTATCTGGTTCTAGATAGCTAGCTATCTGGTTCTAGAAAGCTATCTGGTTCTAGATAACTAGCTATCTGGTTCTAGATAACTAGCTATCTGGTTCTAGATAACTAGCTATCTGGTTCTAGATAACTAGCTACCTAGTTCTAGATATTCAATTATTGAGTAGAAATTGATATAAATCACTTTGATTTAAACCAGCTCATACCCTTCAGGTATATCAGAAATTAGTTTGTAAAATTGGATAAACTTTAAAATTGATTGTACTCAAAAAAATATATACACTTTTAAGTTAAGTGCTTTTTTCGTCTTAATTTCGTAAATAAAAATTAAGTAAAAGAATTTCACAACTTTAAATACATGTGTAATTGTATAGACTACTGATTTACTTCCTAAAAATAAAATTTTATTTTAATACCAATATATTTTACTTCACTCACCAAACATATTTTTGTCTCATCATCATCATCATCATCATCATCATCATCATCATCATCATCATCATCATCATCATCATCATCATCATCATCATCATCATCATCATCATCATTATCATCATCATCATCATCATCATCACAATCATCATCATCATCACAATCATCATCTTTTTTAGAGTTACACCACATATCCATCTGATCATCATCTTTGTTCTTTTAATATGTTAGTCATCATCAATCTCATTGGCCATGCTTCTCTGCCATACATCATAATTTTAATCTTTAATGATACACCATCTTCTGTTAGAAATGTAGATAATTCTTTAAACTTGACTCTGGCGAGTTAAGAAACTCACTTCTCATTTTGTTTAAAAAAAAATAATTATGAATTTTTTTTCTTATTTTTTACTCAATCATATGATGAAAATATTGTTGGTTTAAATAAAAATAAACAATTTTAGTGTTTTTCAATATAATTTACTTTTTTATTTAAGTTTTGTTTAAAAATTTTTTTTGTAAAGTTTTTGTATTAGTCCAAAATGCCTAATCAAAGTCATAATTTTTTTTTTTTTGTAATTACTTTTAATTTTAATTGATAGCTGAGAAAGATGCTTTTATCAGCTAAAATAGAGTTAGTCAAACCTAAATGGAGTTAGTCTTAAAATTTTCTTTTTCCAAAGAAAAATGTATTCATTAAGATATTTCGATTTTAAACAAATTAATAGATGGGTAGACCAAATAGTAACAATTTTAGGAGCTTTATGAGGCACTTTTTTTACTTAATATGAACATATATAAAAAAGCCTATAAACTAAAAAGTATTGTCCTCAGGCAATTTAGAACTTAATTTAAAATTTATTAAAAAAAAATTTTTTTGGTAGTATTTTTATAATAGTACATTAAAAAAGTTTTCATTGAGAATTTTCATTAAGATATTTGTCAATATATATGGTTAATAATCATTGTTATATTTTATTTAGAATTTGTGTTAATATATTGGTAATGAGTCAATATATTGGTAATGAGTAAATATAATGGTAATTGTATATTTTGAACCCACTAGTAGTACTATTGAATGAGTTTTCTGATACTTTAAGATTCTTTGATTATCTGCAGATTTCTGAGTTTAATTGGTTAGTCACTTTAGACAGGATAAATTTTTTTTAGTTTATTTTTGCATCTCTTTCTCATGTGCTTTTTGATGTATATATATATATATATATATATATATATATATATATATATATATATATATATATATATATATATATATATATATATATATATATATATATATTTTAGTTGCTGCAGCTTTATCTTTTTTTTTTTAGTTGTCAGACTAGACTGAGCAATAGTTCCATTTGTAATTACAATAAAAAGTGATTTCATTGGTCAAATAACTAGACTGGCTAGTAGTTTCACTTAGAATACAACTAGGCTAAACCATGGCTTCATTTAGAATAGGAGTAGAAGGAATATGGTTTCATTTGGCTTTGTAGTCATCTGTTTTTAAATTGCCCTTTGTGAATGAACTCTTTTTTGTTTTTTCTTTATATGCTTTATACAAAAGATTTCTGGGATATCATAACCATTCCGGACACAAAAATTGAAAGTAATAAACTGCTCATTGGCTACATAAGTATCCAATTGGAAAAAGTATTATTTTATAGATCTATCAAATCATTAACACATGCTATTTCATACTCAGGCAAATTTGCATGTTTATATACGTTTCAGTATTAACTTTCTCTTCTATCGTATTTTCTGGTAATTTTACTTTAGTATTAGTTTTGATTGAGTGCATAATTCAAGCAGATCAGTTATATGGAAATTTCATCAGTTATACGGAATAAACAGTATTAGGCGAGTAAGCTATGTTCGGAACAGCAGAGGAATTGTTAGCAGAATGTTCTGCCATCAGACTGACACTGCTATGTGTTATTTTCAATCATGACAACTAATGCATTGGTCATCAATTGGTAGTTCAATCAATGCAATGATTGAATATATTTATGACAAATTTAAAAGGAGATTTAATTATATACAAAGTAGGGGTTAAAAAAAATTTGGAAACTGTTTGTCTAAACTAATAATAAAATTCTATTAAATGCAAGCAAATAACTTAATTTAATCCACAATCAGCATTATAAATTAATGCAATATATTTTTAATCCAATAACATAATTTTTTATTGACTCAATAGTTGATAGTAAAAAGTCAAGGAAAGATACTTTGCAAAGCTGTTCTTGATTTCCACATGTGACATATTATCTAACTTCTTATATTTTAAAATTAAAAAATATACTACAATTTAAATGGAATTAAAATAAAATTAAAGTGGTTAAAAAAATGTGAAGATTAATATTGATTTAAACTAGGCTTAACACAGCCTAAAAACTCACTTTTGTTCAATATATTAAAATGTGGTTTAAATTTATTAACTGATTTGTGTCAAAATGCATAACATTAATTTTTTACTAATTTTAAATAACTAAATTTATATAATTTGTTATTCTTTTTTGATTTTGCTGGTTTTTTATTTTTAGTCCTTTTTGTTTTATGAAAACTTTTTTTGGTTTTAGAATAGTAATCAGTGTCGTACCCAGCCATAATCTTATACCGTTTTACCAGTATGGGTGCCCAAACTAATGTACCCAAACTAAAAACTGCACATATCTTAAATTACAACATTTGTAATGTCTAACATTATTTTATAGAAAAAATTTTCCCTCTCTTTTCAATTTTTTTTCATTTGTATTCCTTCGTATTTATCAAATTACTTATGACGACAGTCCCAAAACTAAATGTACGGCTAACGACAATTTTTTGTTGTTAGCCGTAATACTTTATGTAATACTTTAAGTATTACAACTGGTTACGTATTACTATTATCAAGTTAATTAATCATTACAAAGAAGTGTTAATATCGTACTTGATAGAGTTACTAAGAACTTACTGCAATTTTTTTACATTAGTAAACAAAGTATAAACTATTTTTTATAAGAGAACATAATTTCTTTTTTTATACGTTTCTTTCTATCGTTGAATTACCTCCTAAACATAAAATATTTTAATATAAATTTTAGTATAAATTTCAATCAGATGCATAAAATGGAAGCCTCCATACCAGCCCTCCTCCATGGAGCCTGGTATGAAGGCTTCCATATCAAAGAGGTGGGGAGAGGAAAAAATTTGTATAAACAGTAGCGCCCAAACTAACGCTCGGTATGGCACTGGTAATGGTGATGATTTTTTTAAATTATTATAAATTGAAAATATTTGAATTTAGGTTATCCTGAACATATAACTTATCCTGAGTTTAGGCAACGATTTAGTATTCTTCTTCAAAAAGAAGACCAGGATTTGGGGGTAGTACTTGATGAAAAGCAGGTATGATAAGTTAACAAGATTTTCATAATTTTATACAAAAATTTTACAATCTAGAATCTTTGTTTTCTATATTAAAAAACTTTGAAATATGTAAATATTTAAATAACTAAAAATATGTAAAAAATTATAATTGGTAGGTAGCCATCTTGTTGTATATATATACCTGTACAAGAGAGAGAATATATTTTCTAGTTATTAAATTTACTGTGAATAATTTTGATAGAATCATAGTAAGTTTTTATATTTAGTACTTTAGTACTGTTAAATAGATAATATATTTAAGACATTGTAAACAAAAGGGTCTCACCAGCCTTTTTTTTTAAATTCGTTTTCTTCAACCGTTTTTTACTTTAGTATGTACTCTACAATATAACACAAAATTAATGCCAGTATGCATCTTTTGTATTGAAAATCCCTTGTTTACATGTAATAAAATATGAAGAAACACATTTTAAAAGGAGACTCATATATGAATACAACAATCATATGAATAAAACTTAATCAACTGATCTGTGTTTGATATAAGAACTCTTTTAACATATTTTTCTGTGCACTATAACAAATTTTGAGCAATATTATTATAATACATGAGCATGAAGGAGGAGTTCCTCTTGAGAATGACAAAGTGGTTGATTGCTACTGTATGTGCTTTTTTATTATTATATCATAAACTAAGTTATTTACCTTTTGTTTGTTCTATTTTTACAGTATTTTTAGTTCGAATCACCTAATATTTTTACAAACTATAGATTCTTAGAATATTTTTTATCATTTTTCTGTAACCAGGCTTTGTTAAAAGTGCAGATAAAAATAGTGTAACATGGGTTAAAGTGGTTTTTTTAATTATTAGCAAAAGGACTATTTTTAACCAACAAGTTACAACAGAAAAAGTCTCAACAAGACATGCAGGTTTTTGCATACTTTGGTTAAAAAATGAAATTAGTATTTTCAATAAATTGTAATAATTTTCCAGAAATATTTTTTTTTACAATCAAAAATGGTATTCCTCCAAAACACATGACTTGCTCAAAACCTGATTTTGGTTGGTGTGCTTTTTTCATTTGCAACTCCTCATTTATCCTTCTTAAATATTATTTATACTTCTTAAAATATAAAGCTACGTAAAATAGTATTTGCTAAATTATTTTTTATCGCTCAAGTTATTCACTAAATATCTTGCACCCAGATCGGGAAGTAAAACTACTCTGTGCGTTTATTTTGCACCCAGATCGGGAAGTAAAACTACTCTGTGCGTTTATTTTGCACCCAGATCGGGAAGTAAAACTACTCTGTGCATTTATTTTGCACCCAGATCGGGAAGTAAAACTACTCTGTGTGTTTATTTTGCACCCAGATCGAGAAGTAAAACTACTCTGTGTGTTTATTTTGCACCCAGATAGGCAAGTAAAACTACTCTGTGCATTTATTTAAGCACTCATTTATAGTCATGAAAATTTCATAAACAGATGTAAATTCATTTATAAAACCACATTTCTAAATTTTTTAAACCACCTTTGTTGTTTTTTTTTATCTGCTGGTAATGATGATTATGATGAATTTCTTTATATTTTTTTACAAGGCTGTTTTAAAAATGGTAACAAAGCTAGATTTAAATGAAAAAAGCTATAAACTTGGTCTAAGTCAGGTGCTTTCCTTTTTTTTACTTTATAACTTTTTTATGTTTCTAGTTTCAATGTTTTTTATGTTTTTATATAAGTAAAGATATTTTTTTTACTTCTTTATTTCGATTATTTGATAAAACATTTTTTTTCCTTTTAGATATTTTTTCGTGCTGGCTGTCTTACTCGTTTAGAGGACACTCGCAATGATCACTTAAGTATAATTATTTCTGAATTCCAATCTCATTGCAAAGGCTTTCTTGCACGAATCAAATTCAAGAAGCTAGTTGTAAGTTTAAAATTATTTTTTTAATTTTAAATGTTGTTATTATAACTACTATATTTTCTATTTTCATATACTTTTTGAAAAATATAAATATGCAATATACTAATAGTTTATGATTTCTATTATATCATACATTTTTGAAAAGTATGAAATAAATATACAACATGCACACAGAATACACTAACAGTTTCGTAAATAAAATTATTTTAAAGTATTATATTAATATAATATAGTGATTATTTATAAAATATACACAAATACACAATATAATAGTTGATTTGTAATTTGTATTATTGTTTTTAATGTTATATATATGTATATATATATATATATATATATATATATATATATATATATATATATATATATATATTCATGATTTGACCATGGCTGTTGATATATTTTAAAAATTCGAACATTCCAAAAGTACTCCAAAAAAACTAGACAAAAAAAAAAATTAAAAAAAAAAATTAAGAAAACCTTAACAAAAATAAAAAGAACTAAAACGCTCAGATCATTTAGTTTAAGTTTTTAAATAAGTTAAATAATAAACTTCGAGTTCTTATAAAAAAATTCAATAATTGAGACAATCATAGTAATTTTTTTTTTTAATGATTTTCCATAACAGATGCATAATTTTATGTATAAACACATACATATTAATTCTTTATACAACAAATAGCAGTGATTTGTTACTTAATTTAAAAGTGTTTTAATAATATAAAAACATTAGTAAAGATCAAAGTTTTTTTTCAAAAATATTTTTTATCATTTTAAGTGTATTGGGTATAATGATTCTTACATAAAATATATATAATGTGTATATATATATATAATGTATATATATATATATATATATATATATATATATATATATATATATATATATATATATATATATATATATATATATATATATATATATATATATATATATATATATATATATATATATATATATATATATGTATATATATATATATATATATATATATATATTAAATTTTTGTGTTCTTATTTTATATTTGGAACAAGAATAAACCAAAAACAAAAAAAAAAAACCTATTATATTCAATCAAAATGTATCAGGTATTTAGATGGTACCATTTATCTGCAATTATGAATATGTTTATGGCTTGAATATGTCGTGGTATGCTCAAAATACAGTTTTTAACTGTTTTTGGAACTCTTCACTGTGGTTCCACATTTATATGAGCTTTTCTATTTTGTATTAATTATATATTTGTTAGGTTTAAATAGTTAGTTATAGACTCAGCCTCGGGCACAGACCTTCATTGTGCATAAAGATGTAATCTTCATCATTGGAGAACCACTGGAAAAGTTTTGTTGGTAGTCTATCTAGAAGAAGTCTATCTAGAAGAATTTGCCAGCATTAATCTTGACGCATAGTACCTTTGATAATATGAAGTTGCCCAGTGCTCTGGAAATTTATTCTCAACCATACCATGGTCAATTAAAATTATGTGTTAAAATTTCTATATATAGACAATAACCAAAAAAATTTAAAGACCTATATTCTATCTTATGATATCATTTTAGCATTTTGAGTGTAATGAATTTTTAATTTAAAAGGATACCTAATAGCGCAAGTTATATTAAATTAAAAAAAATAAAAATGGTGAAAGAAGAAGTGTATACACACCAAACACTTTATCTTTACCGGCCTTGCGATAAAGCGTTGGGCGATGTGAATTTTATGTCGTCCAAGAGCAATTTTGCGTGTAGCTAGGCCTATTTGCGTAGAGCAAAAAATTTTTTGTTTGAGTATATTTAAAGATATTTTTGAGCGGAATTTTAATGAAGTAATTTACGATTATTTTAACATTTAATAAAGTATTTTAAAAACCGCACTCTGTTGAAATAAAAGTTTGAATTTAAAAAAATTAAATATGCTCATTATTTACAAGTAGAAAAAATTCAAAAATTAAAAAAAAAGTTTAAATCTTTTAAGCTAACATTTAATTAAAATTATTCAGCAATAGCAAAGTTGTCGATAAAATTGAACAAAAATACTTTCTTTTAGTTTTAGATTTTAAACTTAAATAATTATTTTACGGGGGTTTGTTAGGTTTTAAAATTATTCCATAGATTTAAAAATATTTATTAACTGTTAGATGTATTTAAAGTATTTAAGAGTAATTTCGAGGAAACATTTTAAAAATTGGTGAGGGCAAATAAAAAAATAAAAAAGGAATAATATTAAAACGTATTCTACTTGATTCAATAAAAAAGTACAGTTATTAAAATTTTTGTAAAAAGTAACTCAAAAAAATTACTTAAATAATAACGATCGCTTTTATGTTAAAAGTTACCGAAACTCAACAAAGCGTGCTCAAAAACAGCTGCTGAAAAATAGAACGTCAATAGTTTTTTGAATAATTTTTAATAATAATTTTTAAGAATAATTTTTTCGCTGAAATATTTCTTTTATACCTATAAGATTTTTATTCTAACATTTTATTTTATTTTACTAGAAATAAAATTCCTTGTTAACATTAAAAATTATTCAAAACGTTCGTTTAAGTTTTTTATTAATACGAGTGATTGTGCTTATCAACCGCTTTTTGAAAATAAATAAAAATAAATAAATAAATATTATATAAAATTGCTTGTAAAAATATTAGCTATAAAATTTTCAGTTTATTACTTGCTGACTTTTTAAAAAGAAAAAATAATTATTTGAAAAACTTTAAATTACATATTTAAGAAAAAAAAAATCAAATATAAGCATATTTTATAATCTTTTTTAAATTTAAGTTATAATGTTTTTTATTCGTTTAGTATAGACAAAACATGACAAACGTCGAGAAAATAAACAAATGTTTTTACATTTTAAAAAACGAAACATTCCAAAACATTTTTAAATAATAACATTTCTACATAAACGATTTAAAGTAGTTTTGCGGTAATTAAGTAAATTGGTGCAGTTAATGTCGATAAATATGAAAAGCAAATAAAAAGAATTTAATGACGTCAAAAATCATGTCGTGCTTATGCGTCACGCAGTTCTTATTCATCGCAAGGCCTGTCTTTACTATAAAAATGATAGACTTTTTGCATATAATAATGTAAATTTAAAGCACCTTCATAAATAAATGTACAGTTTCTCCAATAAAAATAATAAGCAACTGTTTCCATATAAATTGAAATGTTAATATTATAGAATTAAACATGTGTTAAGCACAAGTTTAAAATTGTTGTTATAAAAGTACTTCAATATTTCGAGAAATCCTTTGATCAATTTGATTTTGAAAATAAATGCAACACAAAATATTATTAAATTATTATTAGTTCTCTTCTTTATCTCTGATTTACAGAGATAAAGAAGATCTTTATCTCTGTAAATCTACTGTCATAATCATTATACTGTCATAATCATTAACTTTATCTCTGTAAATCTACTGTCATAATCATTATACTGTCATAATCATTACACTGTCATAATCATTATACTGTCATAATCATTATACTGTCATAATCATTATACTGTCATAATCATTATTAGCAAGTACCATTTATCATCGTAAAATCATGCAATGTATTTACCACGTTGAAAGTTTGAAGGATCTTTTTTGGCCAAGTTAATATTATTTAGCAAATGGGTATCATAGATAATATCGCTAAAGATTCTCCGTAAAAATAATTTCTCTCCACCTAGTACAAAACTGTGGGAGCTACTTGGGTTAAACATGTAACAATATAATCTTAAATTTTTTTTTTTACATTTTTCCAGTAATAAATTCAGTAAAAATGAAATCTCAAGTGCAAATGTGACTATTACTGTCTAAAATGCAACCAATAAACTATTTTTACATATAATTATTTCTGCATACATAAAACTTTTTAGGTTTTGGTCCTTACAATATTAAAAACTAAAATAATAAAAACCAGAAAATACTTTGCAGATTTTGATTTTAATACAAACTCTTGAATTGAAGTATTTTACACTTAAATTATATCATTATAATTATATTATATGCATAAAATTAAATAAACATATATTATAAAATCATAATAAATAAATTAAATTAAGACAATGATAAAGTTATTTTAGGCAAAACTGATTATGTTTATTCAGCATATATATATATATATATATATATATATATATATATATATATATATATATATATATATATATATATATATATATATATATCCTTATAAAGTAGTCAAAAGAGACTTTAATGATTAAAAAAAAAAGTCTTTTTCAATGCTTTTTCATTTAACATAAACTCAACCAACAATTGAGCAACATTTTAATGTCATTTAAAAATTTAAAAACAATTTTAAAAATGCAGAAGTACATCAAGTTTTATCGTTTTTAAAAAACTACAGTAATTATGACTAGACAGTTTTTTTATTTATGGTGTTTTTGTTTTTGCTTTTTTGTTGTTTTATAATATTTTAAAAACATGTGAGGAGTGTTACATCGACTGACAAATAGTTAAAAAATGCAAAGAGTGTCGCATTTTTTAACTATTTGTTGACAGATGACTCAAAACATTGTGGGCAACTGACATTACCTAAATTTTTACTTAGCGGGCAACCGTCCAGAATCTGACTGCATACCACTGATATATATTTTGCTCACTTTACTTTTTGATATTCCAACTTTATTTCAGAGACAAGGATTTTTTTTTTCAAAAAGAAAAGATTAATGAAAAAAAACTTATAAAAAATTATAGAAAATGAATGTCCAAACCAAAAAAGTTTATGTATTAAAGCTCCTGCTGATTTAATATGATGCATTTAGTAATATTTTATTTGGAATTTAATTTGTACAATAAAATTTTATAAATAAAAATCAAGCAATTAGTTTATGTCTTTATAAACAATTGTTTTATATAAAATTATTATTTTTAAATTGTTGTGATTATTTTCTGTATTATATAGCTTCAAAATGTTGCTATTCGATGCATACAGAGGAATGTTCGTAAATATATGAGTATCCGATGTTGGGCTTGGTGGCGATTATTTACTAAAGTTTTGCCTTTGCTTCAGGTTCACCGAACTGATGAGGAGCTTCAAACAAAAAATGTATTGTAATGTATAATATTTTTAGTACAAAGTTTTTTTATTATGCAAAATAAGAGGGAGTAAAGAAAATAGTAGCAAAGGAAACAAAGAGATTCAAATTTTTTTTTTTAGTCTCAAATAATTAAACTTAATTCAAAAATTGAACATTTACAAGAAATAAACAATAATTATGAAGTCGAAAACACACGTTTAAAGAAAAAAGTAATATTCTTTTCTTATTTATTTTTTTGGATTTTTTCCTAATCATTTGCATTTCACAAGTTTTTTAAAATTTCACATTTGTGGTATTTTTTCAGATTTTGGATCTTACTACAGAATTAAATGAAGCTTCCTCTGCAGCATCAGGTGCTAATGAAATAATTAATTTTAATTCTGTTGAAAAAGTGAAGTTAGAAGAAAATTTAAATGAACTCAAGGTCAGTGTTTAATTTTAAAAAAGTAATAATGGTAGGATAATATTTATGGTAAATATGATATTTATGGTAAATAAAGTTTATTATAATTTAGTTTATTTTCAGTTTATTATGAATTTAGTACTTTAAATATAATGCTTTAAATGTTTATTTGTTTTAATTCCGATTTTTATTTGTCAAAGTTTATTGAAAACAAATATGAAAATTTTATATGGAAGCAATTATATTTTTCTCTGTTTTTATCTTTGTTTACTAAAATGTTCTTAGATAAAAAAAAAAAAAAAACTAAAAGTTTTTAAGGCCCAGGACATAGATCAATAAGCAATGATCTCTAAATAAGAAATTTTTTCATATAAAGTGTTCTTTGGGTGGAGTTTCCTGTCTGGCTATATATCTCATATCTCTAAAGATTTTATATCTGACTTTTCACATTGAAGTAAAAAATCTGAACTTATGACATCATGACAAAATTATGTAAAGTTTAGTAACATAATATTATTTTGTTTTTTAATATACAATATGTATATCAGTTTCTTAAAAAAGCCAAGATGACAGAATTATTAAATTTAATTAATTTAGAAACAAATTATAAAAGTTAAAACAATAAGCATATTCAATTTTATCATGCATTATTTTATAAAAGAAAAATTTTATTACAAAAAATAATGGAATACTTTGCCAGTTGTAAATTATTTATTTTGTTTTGCATAAAAGTTATTGATTGAAATGTCAATTGCATTAAATTATAATTATATTAAATTAATAATTAAATTTTTTTTTCAAAAATCAATAAGAATTCATTAAAGTAATGTCTTTTTTAATAATGTTGCCTTGCTTGTATAAAACCCATGCACAATTTAAGGACTTTAGAAAATAAAAAAATTACAAAATGAAAGTATAATTACATAAAATAAATAAATTTTAGCTTTAAAAATTAAAAACAGTTGAAAATAAAATTATGTTAATTTATTTCATAGGCATTTTTTTATGATGTATGATTGATAAAAAATTGATGTTAAAATTATAAAAAAAAATTTCAGTTTGAAGTTTTTTTTTTTGTAGTTTTTCAAAATAAAACAAATTTAATATAATTTTTTTTTTTATTTCAAAAATCTCTATGTTTAGGTGCCATAAAATAAATATCAATTATTTCATTCTTTAACTTTTATAATAGTGTTTTATTATTAAATTCATTTTCATTTTTTAAAATTTTTTTTCAAATAATAAATTTTATTTATATCAAATTTTAATATTTATTTATTCATAGTTAAAAAATTGAAAACAACATCAACAAATTTTTTTATTAAGGTTTTAACTTAAACTCTAAATGTTTTAATTACCAAATAAATCAAACAGAGTGCAGTAAATATTTATTAGCTTCACCAATTATTTATTTAATAGTTGCTGATGTCTATTTATTGAATTTTAATAAAACATGTTTTATTATGTGCAATTAACATTTTGTTATAAATAATAAATTAGTAAAGTATTAAAAAAAAAGTTTTTTAAAAAGTAATTGATTATACATTATTGTTATAATATTTCAATTGCAAAAATAAAGCCTTAATCATGTGTACATTGAAAAAATAAAATCTAAATGATGTGAGTATTGAAAAAACAAAGAATTAGTTTTAAAGTTTGTTTGTGTTTGTGTTATTGTTTATAAAAACACTTTAATTATGTACAAATGAATAAAAAAATTAATTAAAGTTTTTTAATAAGGAAGTTCCTGCAATATATTCACTTAATTATTATTTTTTAGCATTGTTTAATGGTAATTAGCTTTATTTTTTCTGTTTCAAAAAGATGTCATGAAGTTGCATTAGATTTTTATTAACTTGTCATTAATAGCATTGCCATATCATAACTCAGACTAATTACTTCTGCATTGAAAAAATTATGTTTTTTTTACATCAACTTTTTTTATTTGAAGTATTTTGTACATTGATTTTAGATAGAGATTGAATCTTTAAGAAAGCAGAAAGAACTGCAACAAGAACAAATGTTGTCGACAAATATATTGAGTTTAAATGAATCTGGTAGTGAAAATGGTATTAAAACTGTTTATGTTATTTATTTAAGGCCAATAGTATGATTTATGATTACATTATAACCAACCAATAGTATGATTTATGATTACATTATAACCAACCAATAGTATGACTTATGATTACATTATAACCAACCAATAGTATAATTTATGATTACATTATAACCAATAGTAACCAACGCAACTTTAAAAAACAGATTTTAAAGTTTCTGAAACTTTTTGCGATAATATTAAATATTTTTGCATTATTAATATAGATTATTATTTACAAATTATTATTTCAACCTGTTTGCTTTATAACTTGATTTTTTTTTCATTTAGTATAATAGAGTAAGGTATATAGTATACCTGTTAGTTTTATAGCTTGATTCTTTATCATCACACTTCTGAATTAAATAATTAAACTGCAGCTGAAAAAAAAAATTTTTTCAATTACTTATTTATCTTTTTGCTATCAAAATATTTTCTTTAGAACAAAAGTCTTTGAAATTGGATTTAAAAAAAAAAAGTTTTAATTTTTTTTAATAGTCCTAGCAAAACCTTAAAATTAACAAAACAAACAAAAAAATTACAGTTTTTTAGTTTTATTGCAGATGTAGTAGTAAATTTAGTATTTTTGAAAAAGATTGATAAATATTAAATGTTTGATAAATATTGCTAGCAACACTGTAATATGCTGTATTCCTTTTTATTTTATTTATTTTGTGTTTTATCTTTCTCTTAAAATTTATTTAGAGAGTTTTTGGCAGGAAAAATATAAAGCTTTATCGCAAAGTTGTGAAAGTGTGAAACGCTTATTAATTGAAGAGCATGAAAAAGAAGTTGAAGAACTTACTACTCAAAAGCGAAGTGCAGAGAAAGCAGTCAGTTTTTAATAATTTTTAATTATTTTTTTAATCAACTGCTTTGAGTGTATTTTAAGAGATATAAAGTTTACTATTTTTTTATTATTATCTTTCAATTAAGGAAGATAATGATAGAAAGTTTTATTTGTGTTTTAAATTACTTAAATAGGAAAGTCGTCAATCATTTTTAATTTTAGCTTTATGAAGTGCAAAGCAACTATGAGGAGATTCAGGAACAAATGATAACAATGAAACAAAAATTGCAGAAGTTAAATGGAAACTTGGAAGACATAAAACTTTTGCTAGAAAATGAACAGATTAAGAATGTTGAACTTGAGAAAAAGCACATAAAGTAAATATTTGTATTACTGCGTGTTTAATGTTTATATATATATATATATATATATATATATATATATATATATATATATATATATATATATATATATCACTTCATTTGAGTATCAGGTTGACCTATTTTTGATCTATTTTAGTCTGAGCGCTACATTAAAAAAAAAGTAAAAACTAAGCATTTTGTATGGACATTTTAATTTGCAGACTTTAATAGGCCAATTGGAAACTGCTTATAGCTTTATTTAAAGACAAAAATAGTAGAAACTAAATGAAAAGACTTTACCTTTTACTAGGTTGTTTGTAAACTGAATGCAACAAAACACTTTTTCTAGTTTTTACAAATTAATTGCAGGGGGTTGATAATTTATAAAATAAAATATTTCAAATATGTTTTCTTAAAGCAATGAAATAAAAGTTTTCTAAAGCTCATTAAAAAAAAAAAATTAGTGTTCAAAATTATTTCTTAATAATTTAAAGTTAATAAATAATTTAATGGTATTCTATAAAAATATCAGTTATTCTTATTTTGTTTTAACTTGAAAAAATGTTTACTCTTAAAAAAACTGTTTACTAAAAAATTTATTTTTATTTATATTATTTTTATTAAAGTAAAAAAAATTGAGTAAAAATGAAGCATCTTAGTTACTAAAAAAGAAATTAATTATACTTCATCAAGAAGAAGTTGGAGTTAGTTGTGGAGTTGTGGAGTTAGTTGTGTTAGTTAGGGTATGCATCCCGCACACACCATAAAAGTATGAAAGTCTTTAAATATTAAAGAGTTCAACCACTAGAAGCAGCCAATCATAGTGTATGTGTGGTAAATACATCTGAGTGTAGAACCTCAGCTGAGATAGATCAGAAATAAGATAGATCAAGTAAGTTAAAAGTCTTTTGATGGGAAATGTGAAGCAACACAAATGACCCTCAATTTTCATGTTTTGATTGTTTTATTGAATTACCCTATTTTAAAGTAAAACAGTTCCCTTGCTGCAATTGTTATAGTAAGAAGACAAACAGAGATAAAAATGGATATGAAGTGCTTACAAAATGCATTACGTAATGTTCTTTAGTAATGTTAAAAGAAAACTCTATAAGTAAATATGATATCCCAAAACTCATGGCTAGTATAGTGGGCACAATGTGGCAAAGTATAATCTTCTAAGAGTTACATTGTTATGGGTCTTGTTACCTTAACTACACATGACCCTGAAGAAATCATTTTATTTTTACAGAAGATGCAAGCATGTCTTTGTTTTCAACAATGTGAGAAAGTTTTAAACACAAATGTAAGAGTTTTAAATTGTTTAGAAATTATAAAGATTGTTCAAATTTGAATTAACTTTTTATTTTTTAATGAAAAGCATAGTATTTTTGAAAGAAGCAGACATTTTTATCGAACTATTAAAGTAGACACATGGCAACTAATAATGGAAAAGAATGTCAGATAAGTGAACTTACATCTTTACTGGCCTCCATTCTCTTAGTAAAATTTTCCAACACATGATAACATAATTGTGGTTTAAATTGAGTAATTTGCTAAATTATTGTTTTTTCATCAGATGTTGAATGGATTGAGGATTATTAGGGTAAACTTTGCTTTTCAAAAAACCCCATAAAAAGAAATCTAATGGTGTTAGATCACATGATCTTGGTGGTCAATTAACAGTTCCTTTTAGAGAAATTATTCGATCACTAAGTTTCTCTTTCAAAAGATTGATTGTTTCTGTTGTTGATTGGTTGTTTCTGTTGACATGTTGCGCTGTTCTGTTGAAACCACATGTTGCGCCGTTCTGTTGAAACCACATATTCTGCACATCAATATGCACCAACTTGTCAAACAAAAAGTTACTAATCGTTGTTCAATAATGAGCACCATTCACAGTAACAGTGTTTCCAGTTTTATTTTCAAAGAAATATGGACTAATCAATTCACCAGACCAAAAACCACACCAAACAGTTACTTTTTATAGATGCAGTTGTTTTACCAGTATTACTCATGGATTTTTTTTACACCAGATTTGACACATTTTGTTTGTTTACATACACACCAATTTCAAAATGCGTTTCTTCACTAAAGATTGTTAAAAAAATCATTTTTTTTTATCTGCAAGTAATTAACAATTGCACAACATGATCATTTGTGTTAACTGTATTTTGTAAGCTTTTAGATGAAGATCCTTATGCAAAATATTAAATAAAGTGTTTTATTTTATGCCTAATTGCTGTGAACAATGATGAATTTATGGTAGACTCTTCACTAACAATTTCACTGACAGTATATTTTCTAGGGAACAACCACTACGACTGTAAAGTTTATTTTTTTTGGTCTTGATTTGAACCTGTTTTCTCAAAATTATTCACAATATTTATGAATTGATATGCTTCTAGCATGACTTGTATTGTTACACCAATATGTTACAGTTGGTATTATATCCTTTCAAGTTTTTTAATTTTGAGATTTTATTACTAACCAAGCCTTCATTGATACTTTTGAAATCTTTTTTTCAAAGCACTCCTTTATTAGATATACAGTGCACCTGTTTGTTAGACATTGAAATGTCTTATTTTAAAGCACCCTTTCATTAGATATACAATGTACTTCTTCATTAGATAATTGCAATGTTTTATTCAGGCAATTTTAGCAAAAAAAAAAAATTCATTATTTACTGTCATTTGTTCTTTATTTTTGAGTGCTAAATCACCATTTTCTTCAAATAAATCAGATATTTTTTGGGGCATTATATAAACTCAATATTGTCTAAATAGTTTTAAATTCTTTTGGTAACTATTAATAAATTAGATTGTGCAAATGACTGTCAATAATAATTACCTAATGACTAACCCATCTTGTACCATCTGAAAGATTAAAAGTAAATTTTATATGTTCACTAACTGATTGTGGGTTTTTTCAACTGGTCACTTAATGTTTCCTTCAAAACAAATTCTATTCTATGCAATAAACACCAAGTAAATAACAAATAGAGACCTAATTTTTAGTGGATACCTAAATTTTATAATAGAATGGATACCTAACTTTTCTAATAGAATGGATACCTAATTTTTCTAATAGAATGGATACCTAACTTTTCTAATAGAATGGATACCTAACTTTTCTAATAGAATGGATACCTAACTTTTCTAATAGAATGGATACCACTTTTATAATAAAATTCTAGTTTCAGTTTTTCTTTTATATTTCAGTTTTTCTTTTATATTTAAATCAATTTAGTTTAATTAAAGTACATACAGAAAGTTAAGCTAGTTAGGAAAATACAGAATTTTTGGTTTTGACACTTGTCAAAATTAAAAAAATTTTGATTGGACAATTCTGATAATTCTTGATCAAGTGATTAATCTAAAACAAATTATAAACAACTCAGGTATTACTAAAATGATTTGATAGTAATAAAACTATCAAATCATTTTAGTAATACCTGAAATAGAGCTATTACTAAAATGATTTGATAGTAATAAAACGATAATAACATGACGATGTTCAAGTCATCACTGATAAAATGGAATAAAAATAAAAGGACAATAAAATAAAAGGAATGAAAACTTTTTTTCATATTATTTAAAAAAAAATTAATTATTTTTACATTAAAATTAAGAGATTTTAAACTTTGTTTAAAATAATTATAATAATAACCAAAATCCTGAGAACCAAAAAAATCTCTATGAATAAAAATATTTTCCAGTATGCATCAAAATAAATTATTCATTTTAAATAGCTAGTGCAGCTGATAAATATTTGTTGATTCAAAGAAAAAAAATATAAAAGAAACAGGATTATATAAAACATAAATTTCAATGAATTTCAAGTTTGAATGAAATAAAAAATTAGAATCAGCATGCACAAACATGTTTTCAAAGAACAATTTTTATTTATTTTCTTTTTATCTACTTTTAAACTTTTTTTTTTCAGATTTGATCAAGAAATAATGAAGGCAAAAGAAGAAATGTTTCAAGAGAGAAGACAAAAAGAAGATCTTCAAAAAGAGCATGAGATGTTGAATGCAGAAATGTATTCTCTTCAAAGGAGTACTGCTTTAAAAGAAGAAGAAAATGAGGAGCTAAAAAAGAAATTAGAAAGTTTTTCCTATGATATTGATTCCCCTCATAATACAAATGAGGTGTGTTTATTTTTTGCATTTTATATGGTAAACAAAATGCAAATAATGATTTTCATAAGAGATTTTGATATTGGATATTCCTCTCTCACTAAAGTCCCTAGAAATCTGGGGGAAAAAAACCTAAAAAAAACAACCTAAAAAAAAATTTGTTTTATATTAAAGTAAAATAATAACTATATAATTCTCCGTATTTTTATTGCAGTTGACAACATTAAAGAAAAAAATTAGTGAAAGTGAACTTAAAATACAAGATCTGGAAGATGAAGTTGATGAACAAGCTGGCATAATACAACAGTTGGAGCAGGTATAATTTTAAATAAACGTTATACTAAACATAATTTGTGCAAAAGAAAATATAAGTGAATGAAATTATATTTTGTATTTTACAGACAAAGGTGAGACTTCAAATGCAGAACTACAATGAAAAACAAAAATATCAGCAGGATCTTGAGTCAAAAGAAGAAGAAATAACTCAGTTGCGCTCAGATCATCTTAAAAAGGTTTTGATTTATTAATCAAAAAAATTTTTTTTTCTTGTTAACCCAAATTTTTAGGAATTTTTGATAATTATTTAGACTAATATAGATTAAAATATCAAATGCCAGGTATCAAGCTCCTTAATCCTTAAACTTTGATCAGTAAAGCAGATTATTGCCACAAACGGCATCTGGTTGTAAAAAACTGCTGTAATTCTTCCATAATGTCATACTTAAATAAGAAAATAGTATTATTAAAATCAATCTAAACCACACCATTCTTGAAACCATTCTTTTGGAAATTAGTTGGAGTTTATCAAAATCAATTTAAACCATTCTTGAAACTTTTTTTTTTTTCCTGATATAGATTCTTTTGTCTATATCAGACTAAACTACATTCTATACCAACTTCAGAAAAGTAATACTTGGTTCTAGCATGGAATTTTATAAGATTTTCAGCTTGTGAATTATTTTTTAAACAAAGAATTTACTAATTTTCATTACTCCAAAAGTTTTTGATATGATGACTTTCTACATAATTGTTTGATTATTTACTTATTCAAAAAATAGTATAACATGTGATACTTCTTGATAAATGGAGCAAGTCACTGCACATTTGTTTAAATATTTATACATTTTATAATAATTATATACAAAAAGTACATAGTAGGGATTAGAAGCTTTTGATCTGTTCTGTATTTTAAAGTAGATGAAGTTAAGTTTTGTATTTTTTTTTTTTTTTTTTTGAATTTTTGAATTAAGTACTTTATATAAGCTAGCACAAAGTTTATGGAAATTTTTGACAAAAGTCAACTTAATACACTTTAGCTCTCTAGCTAAACATTATTTAAAAAGTATTTAAATAATGGAAGCATATATATACATATATATGCTGAATTTTGTTGAATTTGTTTTGGTTCAAAAGAATTCATCTTTTGAATTTGTATATATTTTAAATTGATTTGATTTTTATGTTGCAGAACTTGTATAAGTAAATGGTTGTAAATACAAATAAGTTTATATAAAAATACAATAGTTTATATAAAAACGCATTTAATATTAAAAAAGTAACTAATACACAAATTATGTTTATAGGTTCGAGCTCTTGAAGAACAACTTGAAGAGGAAACAAGTTTAAAAAGTGAACTTCAGCGAGTTAGTTAATTTATTTTTGTTTATTTAATCTAAAAAATGAAAAAATAATTAAAAGTAAAAATCCTTTTTATTAATTAAAAAAATTTTTTTTAATTTTATTTTTCAAAAACTTTTTTTAATTACATATAACCTTTTTTAATTTATTAATTTAGGCTAAGAGAGAATTAGAGAAAGTTGTCACTCAATTCCAAAATTCATCAAACTTAGATGTAGAAAAAAAACTGAAGAAAAAGTTGAAAAAAACACAAATTTTGTACAATGATGCAAAAACAGCTCTGGATAATCTTGTAACTCATTGTTTGTACTTATTATAAAGTTATATTTTAACTTTTTTGCAAACTTTATAAGTAATTGATATTACTGTATTTAACTCACCAAGGTTAAGGTTTTTTCACTTTTTTTTAATTACTGTAAAAACTTCCTGTCAGCCTCTTACTTAAACCTTGATAAAAACACCTGCTGCTGTGCTAAGCCATTTAATTTTTGTCCATGTAATCCATGTTTTTTTGTTTTTTTTTTTCATGTAATCCATATTATTTCTTTTATCCATGTAATCCATGTTTTTGTTTTTTTTTGTCCATGTAATACGTCTCATTTGTTATTGGCCTTGTAATTTATGTTTTTTTTTGTTCATGTAAACCATGTTATTTTTATTGTCCATATATTTCATCTTTTTTTTTTGTCCATGTAATCCATTTTTATTTTTGTTCTTTCTCCATATAGTCCATGTTTATTTTTGTCCGTGTAATCCATGTTTGTTTTTTTGTTGTTTTTGCAGTTTTTCACACTCTTTGTCTTAATCAATTTAACCTTGTCGTCTTACTAAATTCATTTTTTTATCAAATTTTTGCTTTTTTACTAAATTTTTGCAAGACTTGATTGCAGACTTGATTGCAGACTAAATGTTGTCAGGCGTTGTGCAAACTCCTAAATAATGTATGTTTATAATTATGTCAAATGATGTTTTGCTAAAAAATTGCAGTGATAAGAAACAAAAAATTTGGCTCCTTGCCCCAAAGTTGAGGCCGATGAGTTAATGTTTTATTTATTTTTTTACTATTTTATACTAAATTTAACTTAAATTGGCAAATTTTAAATTTTATGTAATGATCTTTTACAGGTAAAAAAGGTTTTGTACCTGAAATTATCTTTAATAATTATTTTTACTATACCTATACAATTTTTTTTAAAAAAACATAATAATAATTTAATACCTTTAATATAATTTTCACAAATTATTTTAAGCGAATAATAAAAATTATAAATTTATATTATAAACTTTTTTGTGTTTAGAGTATAAAAAGCTCGGAACTTATTGAACTTAAAGCTCTTCGAAATCAGGTTTATTTTTCTCTATATTTGAAACCAGGTTTTATTTTTTCTAACGTTCTGTTATTAAATAAGTTTTATAAATAAAATAGAAATAAAGTTTATGTTTCATAAATAAACATTTAATCAAACTATAATAGTTGATAGGTTTTGTGCTTTTTTTTTAGGTTTTTTTTATTTTTTTTTTTTTTTTTAATCAAACTTTAATCAGACGTTTTTTTGTATGTTTATTTTGGCTATTATAAATATACAAAGAAAAATTATGATAAAATGCTGATAATTTTTAAAATATAGTTGGAAGATTGTGAGTATACAAAAAACATGGCTCTTAAAGCAAAATCACAAGTAGAAAATGATTTAAAAGATCTCAGAGCTCATGTTGAAAATCTTAATCAATCCAAAATGGGTGTAAGCAATTTGTTTTTATTTACTTATTTACATCTTGATTTGATTGACTTATTTTAATTTTACATTTATATTACACATCTATTTACAGTCTATTATGTTTTCATTATGCGCCATTCCAGAGTGGATGTATAACTTGTTTGTGCATATTTTTTAAACATTTTCGGCATCAATCTTCCACTCGAAGAGTAACTCTTTAGTCAAGAGAAAAAGATGCATAAACCATTAAAATAATGTGTTTATATATATATATATATATATATATATATATATATATATATATATATATATATATATATATATATATATATATATATATATATATGTATATGTATATGTAAAATATATTTTATATATATATTTTTTATTTTGATACACAGTTAGAAGAAAAATGTTCCTTATTGGCACGAGAAAATGCTGAGCTGTTGCAGCGCATGGAAGAAAATGATGATGGACTCGAGGAAATGGTTCGAAATAACAAAAGTTTGATTTCTCAGGTATAGTTCAATAATATATTTGTTATCTCGCAGCATCTACAACACCACAAAATTCTACAGTATTTTGTGATATGTTTTCATATTAGTTAATAACCTATAAATAATCATGTACTATTTTATTTTTTATTTTATTTATTTTATTCTTTTAATGTATAGTTTTTTGATAATAAATCTCAATATGTTTTGGCTTTTTATTAATTAACTAAATAACACGAAAATTACAACCTTAAATATTTAATTATTTATTAAAATATTTATTAATAAACACATTAAGTAAGTAAATATACTAAAACACAAAAAAATATTTTTTAGGTGTCAGATTCACAAAAGATTATTATTAATCTTAAAGAGGATTATCGAATCTTGATGGAAGAGAAAACTAGTCTCTCACGAACAGTAATCGCTTTCAATTCTTCTCTTCTTCTTTTTTTCCTTTTTTTAAACATTTTTTTAAACATTTGTGTGCGCGTTTCATTAAAGTTAATTTTTACACTTTTTTTTACTGAATAGGTTGATATTTTATCGCAAAAAATAGAATTAGAGCTATCCTCTAAAGTCCCAAAAGTTGAATTAGATAAGGCTGAAATGAAGGTATGCGTGCTTGCTTTTTAATGAAATCTTTTGTTTACGCGCTTTCCAGTGAATTTTGTTTTTTATAATTTGTTCTAGTTTCGAGAGTCCGAAAATAAGTTAGAACTTGAAACAGCTATTCGAATCAAGGCGGAGGTTGAATATATTTATTTGTTTTTTTGCTATGCTTTTTTTAATTTAAACAAAATTAACCTAAAAGATGTTTTTAAAACACAGCATCAAGTTTTGCGTTTGAAAGGTCAACTTGAAAAATTGCAAGATGAATGTGATCAAGTTAATAAAAACTTGAGTCGAACACAGCAAAGTTTTACACGGTAAATGATATTAAATTAGTATTGACTGTAATACTTTTTTTTTTTTTTTTTTTTTTTTTTTTTTTTTTTTTTTTTGTCTGCTGAAATTTTTATCAAGTATCTTGGTATTATTTGACACATTATGTCATGTTTTGTATTTATATTTAGAAAAATTAATAAAATATTGTAAAATGTCTGAATATTGATCATGATAGTAATTATATTCCTCATAATTTTATTCCTTTTGTTTATTTACTAGCGTTGAACGTCAATTTAATGAAATGCGCAACGAGTTGGAGGCTTCAAAAATACAGGAGTCTGAATACAAACGAAAGAAAGAAGATCTGGTTAATTATTTGTTTTTATGTCTTTTATTTAAAATTAAATAGTTTTTCATTTTTGTACAAATTTATTTGAATTTATGTACTTTTATGTTTTCAATTTGATTTTTTTATTCAAGGAAAAACGTCTTGAAATTGTTGAGAATGAGTTATCAAGAAAAAAAATCGAAGTCACTAACACAGAAAAACGACTCCGAGAATTGAAGGAGTTTATAGATAGTACCAATTCTTCAGATGAAGATTTTTCTTGCGATGACACGGATTACATATAAAGTAATTTGATATATTTTTATGACAAAACTGAAACAATAATTTGCGATAACTTGAGCTTTTTAAATATTTCTGATTAAAAAAAAAAATTCTAAAAAGATATACAACAAAGTATTTTCTAAAAAAGAGTAAACTAACAAAGAATCCAACAGGTCATATGAAACGGTTTACATAAAAATAGTATTTTTTAGTTCCAATATTTTTTATTCAATTTAGTTACACTATTTATATTTTTTTAGTTCCACTTGTAATATTTTTATAATTCCATTATTTATATATTTATCTTTGTATAAATTTGTTATATACAAAATTATTTTTAAATATCTTCTTTTGTAGCAATTTTAGGATTAAATAGATTAGAATAAGTTAATTGACCACTGACTACCATAGTTTAAAGCCCGTAAAACCTAAAATACTCAAAAGTCTAACCCAGCTTAAGTTTTTTTGGGGTTCGCCACATCTTCTTATACTCTTTTTTTAATTAATTTTTGCTCTGACCGAGTCAAAAAATACACCTCTGCTTTAAGCCGTTTGTTTTGATTGTTTAGTAATGCTGGCTGCTAGCAACTTGTTTAAACTCTTACTTTTTTTTGAAACCTTAATTAGTCCAAACTACTTGAGTCGGATATCTTGGAATTATACTTTATGTCAATATTGTTTGTTTTATGACATATTCCAAGCGTCTCTTGCATGACTCAATTAAATCTTTGATTTGTTTATGTTAGCTAGAATGCAGTTTGTCGTGGTCTTATTTTAGTTAGGGTAGATTAAGGTTATATGAGCACCTTGGTAATATAATCATACTTAAAAATTTCTAAGATGTAAGCAGTGAAGTTTTAATTGCTTTATATTTTTTGAATCGACTTTATTTGGTGACAACAGGAATCAATGTTATTAACGTAAATTTATATGCAGTAATTAGTGGCTCTCATCTAATTAAAAAGCTATTAAATTTTTTTGCGTGGTTAAATTATCACGCATGAATAAATCTGTGGCGCAAAATTTTGATGCTAAAATAATGAAATTTCATTTTTCATAATGAAAAATATTAGCTAAAAATCCGTTCTATTTTCGTTTGAAAAACAACCCATAGAAACAATTAACTTTGACTTTATTTAAAGATACCGTTTTTGTGTAAAATTGAGCATGCAAATTACAAAGTATTTTTCATTGAAATTAATTTCAATGTAAAACATTTGGTAATTAAAAAAAAAATTCTTTATTTTTTTTAATTTTTTAGACTCAAACCTTTGAACGATAAAATTACAAGTTTTCAATTTTAAATAACATAAAGGTATTAAGTATTGTTATAATATTAAAATTTTTTTGCTATGTTTTGTTTTTATTCAAAAACCAAATAAAACCACTGCAATTTTATGATTTTAACCTAGTTTAAAGTCTTAAAACTAGGTAATATTACCTAGTTTAAAGATTGCGCCAAAAAAAAATGTTTTTTTTATTGCGTAAAACAAAGTAGTGTTGCTTCAATAAAAGGTGGTTTAAATTTGATTTTTTAATGGATAACAGTAGCAGACGTAAAATATACATACAATATATAAATACAGCGAGCAGGGAAAACACCCTACTATAAACAATCAGCTTTATAAATATTCGTTACGAATTTTATCCCTGACCAGTGATCTAGTCTAGTTTAAAAGAAAGTACAGTTGCGTAGAAAGTTACTTGCTCAGGTAGCTTGTTCAAGTAGTTTGCTGATCTATTATATAGTTGATTGTGTCTTGGAAGACAGTTTGGAACCAGTGGCGAATTAAGATTTTTTGAAGCCCGGGGCTATTTTTATTTTTAGAGGCCTTTTTATGGGCTAGAGCCTAAAAATTACTAAAAAAAAAATTTTCGGGGGACCCATAAATTTTCGGGGCACGGGATTATAGTCCCCTTCCTTTGCAGATTAAAAGGAATAAATGGAGCTGCTGGTGTTGGTAGGCCCAGAGCAATAAGCCAAACCAGGAACAACAACACGGGGGGGGGGGCAGAGAACACGTGCCCTTCCCTTCCCCCACCCTCCCTCCCCCCCCCCCCCCACACACACACACACACACTTTTTTTCTTGAGTTTTTTTCTTGAGTTTTTTTTTTTTTTAACTAAAATCTTGATATAGAGGACTATTTTCACAAATTGATGATTATGTCCCCCACTTCAAAACTTGTGTCGTCGGTCCTGCAAACTAAGTTGAACTTGTACAGTTTATGAATGAAATTGGCTTCAGCTTAAAAAGAAACTGTGGTCAAAAACTATTTGAAGGAATCTAAAAAAATTCATTTTTTACAATAGTTTCATGAAAAAATATACAAAAAATATCTGTGAAGGAAAGGCTATTAGCATGTAAGCTGTAAGAGCGATGTCTTCACAACCAGAAATCATTGATTAATGGTTCAGCCAAGCTGATGCTGTTTATCGAGAGCATAATTTAAATGAAAAGCTGTTTCATGTGTTCAACCCTGATGAAAGTGGATTGAAATTCGATCAAGGTAAAGTCAACATTGTTTGTCGAAAAAGGAATAAAAAATCCAAAACAACTTGCCCCAACAAATAAAAAACATATGTTTTTCATTTGTTGGGGCAAGTTTAACCTGTTGGCTACAATTTTAACCTGTTGCGATGCTTTTAGAGATTTCCTTTTAAATGCTTTTTGAAAATCTCATTAAGTCATTTACAGAGGTTGAAATTTGATGTAAGCTTGGGTTCGAGGTGATGCATCTGATGTTTATTATTCTACAAGCAAGTCAGGTTGGATAGAAAACAAAAATTTTATAGAATGGTTTCGTTCAATTTTTTTAGTTCACGCAAAGAAACTTCAAAGATCGAAAATTCTATTTTTAGACGGCTATGCATCTCACATTAATTTTTAGACGGCTATGCATCTCAAATTAATTTTTAGACGGCCATGCATCTCACATTAATTTTTAGACGGCTATGCATCTCACATTAATTTTTAGACGGCTATGCATCTCACATTAATTGTGAGTTAAAAATGATTATCTGAATCAAACAACATAGTTTTATTTCGATTGTCAGCTCACACAACCCAGCGGGCATTTGTTTTTAAAAGTTACGTTCTAAATGTATTTTAAATGTCTTTTAAACGTCTTCTTACATAAAGAACGTTTAAAAGACGTTTAAAAAAACTTTTAAAAGACATTTAGAACGTAACTTTCAAAAACAAGTACCCGAAGGGGAGTCATTTTTTACAACCACTAGATGTTAGAGTTTTTAAAACAGAAGCGAATTGTAGAAGTTTACTTGGTTAGAAATCCTTATTTAAGTTTAAATAACCGGCAGTTCCAGCCATCCTAAAAGACCTTATTGCAAATAAAGGCTTTAAAGCAGAAAATGCACATAGTGGTTTTGAAACTGCAATCGGTGCTATTTTTCAAGATGTAATAAATGACAAAATTGAAATTTGTTTTTCTGGAAAGTCTACCGATTCACAAGTTTCACTCGATAAAACTAATAAAACAAATTCAAAAAACTCTATAAATAGACTTTCAACAAAAGAAGTATTGCTCAAAGAATTAGATAGCATCAAAAATGTCGTTAAACAAGCATCTTTTGATATTAATAAATCAGTGCTCAGTGTGCTTAGAGACAATTAAATCCTCTTTCCAGTATTAAAAAAAAGCGAACAATAATTAAAAGAACAACAAGTTATAACATGACTGAACTATCTGCAATGGCTCAGGACGAAGCAACACAAGCTGCTAAAAAAAGAAAACTAAATGAAAAAGAAGCCAGAAAAGTTATTTAAGAAAAAAAAAGTTGGACTGAGCAATTCTCAAAGAACAAAAGTTAAAAAAAAAAGAAGAAAATTAGCTTTTAAAACTTAAAAAACCCCAAAAACGGTCTCAGAAATATAAGAAAACGACAAAGATGTTTACTAGTCAAAATATTGAGTGTCTTCCTGCCGCTAGCTGTAATCCCTGCCATATCAATCGTATTTGTATTTTCTGCAAAAGCGTTTGGGACGAAGCTACAAGCAGCAAATGGGTTGCATGTGAAAAGTGTTTTAACTGGTCGTGTATTCCTTGTATTATAAATTATCACAAAACAATTGAATTCATGTGCAAGGAGTGTGAATAGCTTTTATTAGTTTTAATTTTTGAAGCTTGACGTTTTAAAACAATATTTTTTGAATAGAGCTAGGGTTATCACCTCCAATTGAGTTAGTATTCATTTGGATATAGCAACCGTTGCTGTACTGTACAGACTTGATAATTTACAGATAATAGACATATATATTGCTGCGATACTATTTAATAAAAACTAACTATTTAATGGCGAAGAATAATGGCGTGGTCCATCTTGCAAAGTTATAATAATGGAAGGTTATAAAATAATAATTTTTAGTGAGCAAAATTAAGAGGTTACTGAACAATGTTTCAGTCTTTGAATTACTGCCATTTAAAAATACAACTGCGTAAGGGATAAAACTTCATTGATATTTGATAAAAAAGCACTTCAAGCTTCCTATTTGATTAATGGGGGAGCATTCGTTAAGGCTGCAACCAACCTGATACTAATGACTGAGATTTCTTCTGGTTAACAACAGTTAACTGATGGAGACAGGCAGTGACTGCGAAGGTTTTTTAACTGATAACAAAAAAATAATGGAAGATAGGATCTAACTAACAGATAACGCACACTCTGTACCAACACAATGTTATACCCTTTCATTAAAATAAATTTTAATCTTTTTAAAATCTTTTTACCTAACTCGAAGCTAGAGGTCTAGGCTAGTATAAATTATTTACTTTCGTACTTAATGTTGAATAGCAGAGCTATTCAACATTAAGACAATTTTGTTCGGAATCAGGAAAATCTATAGATTTCCCTAATTTCTAAATACGGTATAGATTTAAATCTATACCGTATACGGTATAAATTTAAATTTGGTCTATGAGTAAACAAGTCAATATAAATCCACTCGATTATTAATGGTACCCATTACTAAAATAATCGCACTATACAAAAAAACAAAAACAAACAATAAGTAGATAACAAAATAGTAAGTAAGATGATAATAAATGATAATTGGAGCAATATGAAAAAAAGTCTAATAAATGTGGTACTATATATGGTCTAACCTCTAAATAATAAACTGATAACTGATAATCGCCTGCGTAACATAAAAATATATAAATGTCGTTAATCTAACAAATTCATAATAAAAAGCTCACAAAACGCAAAAATTCATGGGTGTATTTACACATATCGTGTAAAAATGAAATTTTAGGCTAAAAGAAGTAAAGGTGCAATTTAAAGCTTGTTCTTTTATTTATAAAGTTATGCTTGATAAAAAATAAACAAATAAAACTAAACATTTTGATTATTTATTGGTTAATACGATAAATT